CATAAAAATTCCTCGGGTTTTTCTATTATTTTTCTCTCTCTCTCTCTCTCTCTTTCTCTCTCTCTCTTTCCATAAAAATTTTGATGTATTGCAGTTGTTTATGTCTCTCTTTCTTTATCTTAACTTCTTTTCAAATTCCCCCCCAATGTCTCTTAATATACAACTAGCAAGCCTCTTTCTTTCGTCGTCATCCATGCCCCTTCTCTATATGTGTATAGTTACTTTCTATTTTTACCCCTAGTTTTCTTTACGTTTTTCTCTGGCTTTATCTCCCACCTTTCCTCCTTTAAATTCTCTTTTTTTTTTTCTTCTTCTTCTTCTTTTTTTCTTCTTCTTCTTCTTCTTCTTCTTCTTCTTCTTCTTCTTCTTCTCTCATTGCTTTTCTTAATTCCTTCTTGCATTATGTAGATCTCTTCGTGAGAACGCATAACTAATTTCATTTCAAAATGGCCGAGGATCAGGTAGATACTGTACTCTGATCATAGGTAGAAAATTTTAACGCTTTTGTATACAAGATTAACAGAATATCAGTAGAGATTATACGATATATGTTTGTAGCAGTTATAAGTGTATAATTATTTTTTCTGTGTTGAAATATTGGTTTTGTATACTGACATACAAATTATGAGCAAAGGCTTAAGTACCGATGTTTTGTTCAGGGGTATTAAGAACTCAACAATATTAAAACCTTCATGCCTGAAAAAAAAAAAAAAAGAAAAAGCGGAGTGTCAAAAGGATGGTTATTCCCTTGACACCGCTATTACTATATACACTCGGCAATGTTTATTTATAAGATTAGAAAAATATGTGAACCAAGTGCAATGCTATATTTATTATTTAACTTTTATAAAAATTTATTATTTACCATTTTCTAAAGAAATACATTTGAAAAGAAAACTTATTTAAAAAAATTAATAAAAATTTTAAAATTCTCAAAATATGTAAACCAAATAAATACAATGTTTATAATTTACCCATTTATAAATAACTATGAAACAAATTCTCAAGAAAAGAGAAAATATATAAAGTCACTTTCGTATGTTTGGCTTTTATTAAAATTCTAATCATCGCTTTTTAAAACAATATAGATTACCGGGGCAGTCAAAAGTGTTTACAATAATAGCGGTATCAAGGGAATAACCATCCTTTTTATATAGTTTTTTGCAGACACGAAGATTAAACATTGGGAAAATCTAAAATGGAGGGACTGCAATTGGAGATAAAATATATGATCACACATGCACGCAGACACACACCTCTCTCTCTCTAAATATATATATATATATATATATATATATATATATATATATATATATATATATATATATATATATATATGAGGTTAGCAACCTTGTTTCATGGATCAATTTGTTAGTGTTGTATGTTCCAACCAATCGTCATGAGCGATTCCCTATTTTTTTTACAATGGTGTTCACTCTTTACAAAGCCCAAGAGCCGCTCGTGGTAGACGGTTACAGAGTAAGAGTCACAGTTTCTGGTGATATGTGGGAAAGATGACGGTTGACCCTAAACTTTGAACACGTTGCAATTATAGTGATCGGGGAAGCATCCTTGAGAGTCGTTTCCACAATGCAGCGGTTCGTGGGGAGATGCTGCTCGAGTGGAACTTACATCTCACCAATGGAATACAAAGGGAATCATGGTGGTTCGTTACAATGGGCGTGAAGTTTAGAATTGGTGGACCTAAGGAATATAGTTCGTCTGAACAATCTCCATGGAAATAGCGATAGAACAGCGAGAGACTTGCGACGTTTCGTCTGTGAGGAAAGGGGTTGTAGGGTGGAAGAATAATTCGTCACCCACAAGGACACGGAGACGCTTTTGAACTCTATCGAAGCGGGAAAGTGAAGACTAAGCAGCTCCTGCCCATATATGGTAATCCATTTTCCGCCTGATCTGGCTCTTGTAAAAATAGAGGATAGCAGGAAGAGACAGGTACTTACTAAAGCGATGCAGTGAACTGACCATTTTTCCAACATTTTTAGCGATGTCTCGTTTATACGAGTTCCACTTCAGGTTTGGGTTGAATCTAAGTCCCAATAGGCATTCAAGGCACGGGGCCTCCCTGAGGGAACGCCCGTTCGTTGTGATCTTTGAAAGTTATGGGTCTGCTCCTTGATGATGACTAGTTTGGTTTTCGATATATTGAATATGACCAGCTAGTTTTTTTTCCCCCCACTGAGCTGTTAGAGCTAAGTCAGAGGAAAGATCAGCTTCTTAACATCTAGAGATTTGGAGCTGCACCCATATACTCTTGTATCATCAGCATAGATATTCACAAATGATTGGAGTAGACTCTTCGGCATGTCATTTATGTAAAGTAGAAAGAGAGTTGGACTCAGAAGCTAAACTTGGAGGACTCCTGCGTTGATCACTTGGGCCTCGGTGAACTGGCCGTTAACAACTACCTTCAGGGATGGCCATATTAAATTTTACTTAACAAATAACTTTTGACCGCCTCGATGTAAGGGAACGGTTAGTGAGACGTCATTAGTAGAGGAGTGTTCGATTCTTCATGATTGCTCTATATTTCTAGCCTTGTGCCAGATTTGTGTGTGTGCACGAGTGCGCGCTTCATGGCGTTACTTAATAATTAAGAATATCTGGCGGTGATAATCCACTGAATTATTAATATACTCGGGAACGTTTTATGTTTTTTTTTTATAATAAAAGGCTTAAAATAAGTTTCTCTTATCTCCGCCATCGATTTCTGTTTGCATAGTTTCTTTTAACCTTGCAGGCCCAGAGGCTTTGCCAATAACCGCATTCGAGTTTGGGAAACAAACAAAACGAACCTGAATCATTAAACACAACAAAGTTGATTAATAATTAATTCACAGTTCATTCGAGATGCTAAAGTCTTGAATGCTGCAGAGAAACATTCAGTGTCCTGATCATCTACCTGATCTCATAATACTTTATGATAAGGTTAATGGTAAAGTTATCCGTTTCCTTATAAGGAAACAATCAGCATTCATTGACCGAGCAGTTATCGCCAGTTGAAATTTACCAATTCTTTCTTTTAAAACATATTTTCAGGAAAATAGTTTTCTCAAAATCACTGTTATCACTCTTTCTATTACGGAAGGGGGCTTCCTTCTTAACATTGTTTGAAATAGTGTGGAACTTTAATAACTTATTTTCTTTTCTAGTTACATATGCTATCCATTTTAGTTGTTGCCGTTGTTGAAAGTCCTCAAGTGATGAAAATTTTGTTATTGGGTACAGTTCTATTTTTTTTTTTAATTTTGGTGATTCTGTAACACCAGTACACAAAGTTCGCGGAAACCCTACAAACTTCATTTGCTCGAAGCCATTTTTTAATCATTGATCTGAAAAAGCGATTGTATACAGCAGACAGTTTAGATATTTCTGAACGGGTTTGGCGCCATGCATGACATGCATATCGATCTGACGAGGTTATTTAAGAACATGACTGGAGGTTTTATGTTTTAGTTTTGTAGCAATTTGCAGTGTTGGTGTAAAACCATCTCCCGCACTGTCTATTCTATGTTCAATTCCTTTATCACCTATATTAAATTTATTATAACTAATCCTTACACCGAGGTATTTGAAGGGTTTAGCATTTTCGACATCCTGGATTTTTATGATAGATTTAGGGTAGGTGCCATCACGTCTTTCATTCCAGTTCCAGATCATAGTTTCTGTTTGTGAAAGGTCTACCTTGAGTTCTATATCTTGGAACACTTGATAGATGATTTTTCTGTCTGAATTTCTCGGATGTGGAATTGTCATTATTTTCAGACAGACTATTAATCTCATCTTTGATGTTGTTAGCACAGTGTGTACTTGAACTAAGTGGAAATAGAGCGATCAATAACTGAGCAGTACTGAATAAGAACTAGATGAGATATATCTAGACATGGGCAGTGAAACGAGAACAATCTAACCCCGTAGATTAAATAAAGTGTTCAGTTCAAAATTCTCTGTAGGTTATTCGGATCAACATGCAATCGATGTAGGCCGAAAAGTACAACGGCTGAAACGTGATAACAACAAAGACGAGAACAACAGACCGAGGTTTGGTTTGGTTTGTTTTACGGCATATCAACCTCAATGGGTTATTTAATACCGAAAAGATTTTTATTGCAGGTAATATTTTTTTCAAAAATTTATTGCTGGTAATATTTTTTTTCTTCAGAAATTCATTGCTGGTAATAAGCATTTACAAAAATGTTTGCTGGATTTAAAACCTATTTGTACGCTTTCATAGTGTTTTGACTCCAGTTTGGGGTTCAACTATTTACTCATAGTTGGGATCATAACAGGTGCTACCACCCAGGGTCAGGGTGGGTCAGGGAACATCAGCAATCGTTCCATGCTCCTCAAAACCTTCTGATCAGAGGCTTGTTGTTGGATGAAGTTTATCGTCTTACCCACGACAGAATAGACCAAGTGTAAATAATATAATATTAGTAGAATGTTGATCATTTGATTCAAGATCATTCTTATCCCAACTGTGAATAAATACCTATGTCATTTGCATAGTACAAGCCCCCTCAACCACCACCACCACCACGACACACACATTTAACTTTTTTAAAAAAGTAAAAAGTACAAGCAAAAAAAACCGCTGCATAATGCGGCCATGCAGATACACGATGTATATTATTAGTTGATGAATGACAATTTAACGTCAGTTTAAAAAGAATTTTAAAAAATGGCGGATGTTGAAAAAAATGGCAAAGGCCACAACGGGGCCACCAAAAGCGCGCCCGGAAGTAAGACGCGCCGGCCCTGGAAGTTTAGAATTTCTAATATTGATTTAAAGCAGAGAAGTTCTTACTTTAGACGTTGGCGCAATAAAGTCTAACGCTATTTTTTTACAATAATGTTCACTTTGTACAATGCCCAAGTGCCACTCGATGTAGAAGTGTGCAGAGTAAGAGGTACAGTTTATGCGGATATGTGGGAAAGAAAGAAATAATACAAAATGTTTCAGTATGTTCGAAACTTACCCTTCGTAATTTGTTTTGAGGCACACGTCTACAGTTTCGTGATCCCAATTGTCAGTTCTGGAATCTTTTTGGTCATCTGGACAAAAAAAGTTGCCGCAGCAACGTTGATGATAGTCGACTCCTTTATCCAATAAGAACTTCACCATAGCTGCGTCTTCATTCACGATGGCCATATGAAGTACGTTTTCACCTACCAAAGAATTCGAAAATATTTCTTTTATATACAATTTATCATCTGCATAATAAGTGCGAATGCCAGTGTGTAACTTTTTCAAATTAAAGGGACACAACTCTCAATTTCAATAGCTTATTTCAAGTGAAAAATAATACTATTCTCAAATTAGTGTTTCAAAATAAAATTGCCCATGTTTTCAACTTTACTCCGAGAAGCCGTAGCCCAGCATACCATACCATTTTGGAATCAGGCCGATTCCGTGAGCAAATTAAAAACATTCCGGGCTGGATCTGGACCCGCAATCCTGAAATTTATTTATGATTTCCAATTTTTCATTACTGCGATTGTTTTCGACGATTTTTTACGTGATTTTTTTTGCGATTAATTTTTCTGTACGATAACAATTTTTATAACTTGGAAATAAATTTGGGAATAATCGAAATTTATTACGAAACTCAGCCATGAAATAAAAATAATTTTAATGTAAGGAGCTATGTACATCAAATTGTCTATAAATTAAGTGGCGACAGAAGAATTATCATTGAACTTTTAAAAGGTAGGCTTAAATATTAATGCAATATTTAAATGCAGCGATCAATTTTGAGTTCTATAGTTTATTGTTGCCTATCGCATCTACTCCTCCCTACTTATTGTGATGAAAGCCCAATCAAGAGCCATCCGCAGGTGCTAGCTTAAATGCTGCCCGAAAAGAACAATATTATTATTATATAAATGCATACTTAAGTTCGTTTGCAACATCGGTGATATGCTTTTGTCAGAGTTAGCTCCTCCTTAATTCCCTAATTATCACTAGGGGTCGTTCTCTTCTTACACTATTAATACTGGGCAACTTCTTTCCGCGTTCTCTTTTTCACTTTGCATTTCTTATTTTTTTTATACACAATACACGTACGTACGAACATTCACCAAAATACAAACTCTTTATGTTCACACAAAAATGTTAATGTCTTTGTTACTTGTAAATTGGTTGTTTAATACATATATTTGTTGACACACACACATATATATATATATATATATATATATATATATATATATATATATATATATCGGTCTTGTTTGTTTTCTTTACATCTTCAGTTGGACTTAATTCAAGTCCGCCATTTTCTTGTATTTGGACCTTCTTCTAGCAGGAATAAATAGCACGTGTTTCTAATTCAACAACACTCAAACCCACACGGTCCACTACACTTTAATATATTTTAGAAAGACCCGTGGGAATTTTTCAGAACGTCTTTCCTTTTAAGGACTAAAAGAAAATAGAGAGTGTTCGGAAAGTTACTATGCACTTATATTTTTATTAACAGACATGTTTCAATATAGAATACAGGAAGAGTATATGAATGAAAATTATAGACAATGACGTCCGTTAGCATCAATTCAGGCCTGGATCCTTCTTATTTCGTTTCTGAACATCGCTATGAGTTGCTCGCTTGAAATTGACTGAGTGGATGCTTTCAAATCGTCCTGTGTGCGCGGACAATCTCAATACAGTGCAGATTCTGCTGCTCCGCATAGATAAAAGATCTATTTAGATATATTTAGATCTGGAAAGTGTGGGGGCCACATGTCTTTGGAAAAAATGCAGTCTGCAAAAGTTTCCAACAAGGTGACGAATTATATTGCGATGTGGAACAGGTGTATCAGAAAATTTATCAGCAAAACACTGTCGCACTAAATCTGTGTATCTACCACCTTCTCGAAATACATGTTCGAGGAGAAATACATGTTCTTCAGTTGTTAAAACAATATTGGAATCTGAAATATAAAAAATATGATAAGAAAAGTACACAGTAACTTTCTGAACATAATTCATGCACCGTAGGACCTCTTTATTCGTGGTAAATAGGCTCTAATAATCTCCACGGATGATGAAGTCTGTGGGTAATAGTGAACTATTTGGATATATGTTCAAAATCTTATGACATTGATACTGTTTTTAAAACAAAATGCTTAAAAATATTTAACAAAAAGAATCTAATGGGACCTGTTTGCGTTATGGTTAGATTTGAATTCAGAGTTTTCCTACTAGACTTTTTTTCTGATAGATTCCTCTCTTTTCATGTCAGCGAAACAGAATCGACCGAAATTTGAACTCGGTCCGCCGATTTCATTTTCCGCGCCGATAGCTGATACGCTACCAGTACATCTTCAAAGCTAGCTAGTAAGGAATTAAATCAAATTAGCAACTCAAGCGATAATTATATGCTTATCTTAAGAAAAGGAAATTAAAATCTCTCAAGCATAAAGGAACTGATAATTCAGGGCTCTTTATGAGAATTGAATTTAATATCAAAATTGATAACAAAAATACGCCATTTGCACAACCGCTGTCCGTAGGCGGTTACCATAATTAAAAATCATTGGCTTGCAATAATTATCCATAATATATATGTTTGACGATTTCCCTTTTTCTTTTTCTTTTTTTAATAGGGGGTTTATCATTAATGATTTATGGTTCTATATATTTACACGCGAGTGTGTGCGTGGTAAGGCTGTGTTAGTCTATATGTTAGTCCATTCAGAGGTATGCTCAAGTCTTCTGTGTTTTTCAATCAGTTATTTTATGTGTCCGGGATAATGCAATGGTTTCAATTCGACCTTTTCTCCGTCCTTCATCTGACACGTAAGGGTCTTTTTAATGATTTCGGTGAATATAGCATAAGTAATTTCGGTCACTTCCTTCCGTTTTCGGTCAGTTTTTGGTCGTCACTATGGTGAAATAACAAGAATCAGTGATGCGTCAAATTAATCAATGCCAAAAATATAAAGAAATCACGTGATGCCAATATGTTGCCTTCTCTCTAATCCATGTCTTTCTCATTCTTTCCTCTATCTGTCTCCTCTCTATCTATCACTACCTACCTAGCTTTCTACAAATCGAAAAGGAAAAGACATTTTATTGCACTTGATTTCTCTATTTTTGTTTGTCTGTTCGCCTGGTTGTTTATTTTAGAGCATAATTTATCCCACCTAATCTCATATAACGTATCTGCATTGTCGCAAATGTTCGATTAGATCTAAGATTTTTTTTTTACAAACTAGCTTCTGAAGTATACAATTCATCAAGATCTCATAAAAATAGCTTATTTTTTTATTATTGTGTTAATCAGTAATTTAAGCGTTATTTTCGTCTACCGGCCTGAATATTCGAGAAGCCTTATTAAAGAAAAACATGCGCTCACCCTTTAATAAGATTTTTCGAATATCCAGGCCGGGAGACGAAAATAAATATACTGTTTAAAATAAACGGAGCGTCTACTCAAATATGGGTATCCACTAAAAATAACGTTTAAATGATAAAATCTGTCGGATTAATCAGTAAACCTTTTACTATCGTACGGCATCGATAATATTAACTCCCTCTAAAATCCCTTATATGAAATAATATTGTGGCTAGTCTAACCAACATGAAGCGATTTGGCCTACATTAGGGATTCAAGGTAGCAATCTAACTACCAGAGTATTTGGGTTAATTATTTTTATGTCCGTTTTCCCAAAATAAATGAGTCTGGTTTCAAACCAACGTAAAATCATTCCTTATCGCAGTAATGCTTGTGTAATGGGTTTTCTAAGTTCGCAGATGTATACTGAGTTGAAAACTGCTGGACTAAATAAATAGAATAATAATGTTAATATCGGTTCCCGTTGGTATTTTCCATTTCCGCTTGACAAAAAAAAAAACAAAAACAAAAAAAAACAAACACACAAAATACTCTAAGAAGTATTTTGGACTCAAGAAAAAATTAAAAGAAAAAAGAAAATGGAATCTTGATAAAACTATAAAAAAAATGAATCGTTGAAATATATAAAAAAAAGGTTTACTGAAAGAAACAGGAATCAATAAGTAGCCGGAATTCGGTGCCTACAAAACATTTAGATTAGAAGACGGACACAAGGTCACGTCTCTTGAAATCTTCCACAACAATCTTAAGTTGTTCAAGCCTAGGATTAACAGTTATCTTCCCCACATATCTGCATAAATTGTACCACTTACATAGTTCGAGTAGATCTTGCGCCTTGTTCAGGGTGTACATTATTTTGAGTTTTGCTATTTTTCAGAATAATTTCGAATAACTTAGATTATTGATGAGAAGAAAGTCAAAATTCATAATTTAGTATCATTGGGATTTCAAGTGTATCCGATTCTCCATTTGTAGGATCAATCTGACAACTCTGCTCGTTTTTCGCCAGTTCAGTTCCGGTAGCCTTTACGTCACCTTGCACCGCCATTTTAATTAATAGATCACCTCGAATTTATTTCTAGAGTGCAAGAGAAATATTCTTATGTTTCTCTTGCACTCTAGTGCAAGAGAATGTTTTGATGTTTCTAGAGTGCAAGAGAAACATTCTTATTTATAAAAAAAGGTCGAAAATAAAATGTGGCGAATGAGTAAAGTAAATACAACTACAAATATTTTCTTCATTTATCTTGCCAATTCCTTGTAGCGTATAAATAATAGTATATTTATAATATTTATTATGTTGATCATAAAACTAATACAGTGAACATAGCCGATTAATACCCGCTAAGGAATTGATTATTTTATCGTTGGCTTTATTGGAAATGATATGTTGGACCAATGTCATTAATGAAGTCCTGAAACATAATTTGTTAACAGCCTTCTCTTTAAATTCCTTTAGTGAATCGAGTATATATTTCACACACTCAAGCTTTATTAAAATATCGTTTATGTAGAGGGGGTGTTTTCATTGCGCAGAATCGTAAGTAAGTGACAACATCAATAGAGTTTTATTGCTTTTAAAGGATCGTTAGGTATATCCGCTCTAGCCAATTATGCGAAAAGAAAATCTATTCTAGTTAATCGGTTTTCACATTCTCATTTACAGTTATAAGTCCCATAACCTACTAGGGTCGTTGGGGCACCACATGTACTGTAGTTGTGGCAGAGGTGGGTGTGTCTAGTGAAAGATAGAAACTCATCCTGCTTCAAGCTTGTTTTGAATTCAAAGTTCTTCTTCTTCTGGACTGT